AAAATCTAAAACTATAAACGGTGTTCATCTCAGCAGCTGATGGGGCCCCACTGATCTCCCTAGCAGCTTCTTCCGTCTCGGAAGCGGGCCCCTGGACACCCCACACACAACGGCTGGCACACGCGGAAGTGGAAATGTTGCTATTCATGCTGCAGGGCGAGTAAATCCGAAGAGCTATAAAGCTCTTCGTGTTCACAGATGCGGGGGGGGGGTGGAGTGGGGGGCGGTCCAGTCGGGGCACTGGGTCACAACGTTACTAACGACTCATCCCGACACGAATCGAATTTCCGGCTTCGCTACGGGGACATCCGTGGTGCGGAGGGCTTCATGGGTCAGGAGGATTTCTCCTCCGGCCGGTATCGGTATCAATACGCGAAGCGTGATTGATGTGCCGGATGACAGAGTGACCTTGGGGTGACCTTACCCCACTCCCCACTCCCCCCTCACCTCGTCGCCTGCCCGGTCACGGTGAGGTTGCAAATCTCATCCGCAGCCGGATGCTGTGGGTGGTCGTTGTTGAGTCGCTGACGAACTCATCATGAGTGGTCCAGGACTACTGCCACTATTACTGCCCCTATTGGTGTCCCTATTACTACCCCTATTACTGTCCCTATTACTACCCCTATTACTGCCCCTATCGCTACCCCTATTACTACCCCTATTACTACCCCTATTACTGCCACTATTACTGCCACTATTACTGCCCCTATTACTGCCCCTATTACTACCCCTATTACTGCCCCTATTACTGCCCCTATTACTGCCCCTATTACTACCCCTATTGCTGCCCCTATTACTGTCCCTATTACTACCCCTATTACTACCCCTATTACTGCCCCTATTACTGTCCCTATTACTACCCCTATTACTGCCCCTATTACTGTCCCTATCACTACCCCTATCGCTACCCCCTGTCACTACCCCTATTACTACCCCTATCACTACCCCTATCGCTACCCCCTACCCCAGAATCGTACCGGTGCCGCCGCGTTCATAACCACGGCTGGCTCGCCGCTACGCTACCCACTGCACTACACGCTCACCGCTACACTACCCACTGCACTACACGCTCACCGCTACGCTACCCGCTACACGCTCACCGCTACACTACCCGCCTGCACTACACGCTCACCGCTACACTACCCGCTGCACTACACACACTCACCGCTACACTACCCGCTGCACTACACGCTCACCGCTACACTACCCACTGCACTACACGCTCACCGCTACGCTACCCGCTACACGCTCACCGCTACACTACCCGCTGCACTACACGCTCACCGCTACACTACCCGCTGCACTACACACTCACCGCTACACTACCCGCTGCACTACACGCTCACCGCTACGCTACCCGCTGCACTACACACGCTCACCGCTACGCTACCCGCTGCACTACACACTCACCGCTACACTACCCGCTGCACTACACGCTCACCGCTACGCTACCCGCTGCACTACACACGCTCACCGCTACGCTACCCGCTGCACTACACGCTCACTGCTACGCTACCCGCTGCACTACACGCTCACCGCTACGGCTACCCGCTGCACTACACACCGCTACGCTACCCGCTGCACTTCACACCGCTACGCTACCCGCTGCACTACACACCGCTACGCTACCCACTGCACTACACGCTCACCGCTACGCTACCCACTGCACTACACGCTCACCGCTACGCTACCCGCTTGCACTACACACGCTCACCGCTACGCTACCTGCTGCACTACACGCTCACCGCTACGCTACCCGCTACACGCTCACCGCTACACTACCCGCTGCCACTACACGCTCACCGCTACGCTACCCGCTGCACTACACACGCTCACCACTACGCTTACCCGCTGCACTACACACGCTCACCGCTACGCTACCCGCTGCACTACACGCTCACCGCTACGGTTACCCGCTACACGCTCACCGCTACGCTACCCGCTGCACTACACACGCTCACCGCTACGCTACCCACTGCACTACACACGCTCACCGCTACACTACCCACTGCACTACACACGCTCACCGCTATGCTACCCACTACACACTCACCGCTACGCTACCCGCTACACTACACACTCACCCCTACGCTACCCGCCTGCACTACACGCTCACCGCTACGCTACCCGCTGCACTACACACGCTCACCGCTACGCTACCCGCTGCACTACACACGCTCACCGCTACGCTAACCCGCTGCACTACACACTCACCGCTACGCTACCCGCTACACGCTCACGCTACGCTACCCGCTGCACTACACACTCACCGCTACACTACCCGCTGCACTACACACGCTCACCGCTACGCTACCCGCTGCACTACACCCAAACACCGCTACACTACCCACTGCACTATACACTCACCGCTACGCTACCCGCTGCACTACACACGCTCACCGCTACGCTACCCACTGCACTACACACGGCACTACACACGCTCACCGCTCTACGCTACCCGCTGCACTACACACTCACGCTACGCTACCCGCTGCACTACACACTCACCGCTACGCTACCGCTGCACTACCACACACTCACCGCTACACTACCCGCTGCACTACACACACACACCGCTACGCTACCCACTGCACTACACACGGCACTACACACGCTCACCGCTACGCTACCCGCTGCACTACACACCGCTACACTACCCACTGCACTACACGCTCACCGCTACGCTACCCGCTGCACTACACACGCTCACCGCTACGCTACCCGCTGGCACTACACACTCACCGCTACGCTACCCGCTGCACTACACACACACACACCGCTACGCTACCGCTGCACTACACAACCGCTACACTACCCGCTGCACTACACACACACCGCTACGCTACCCGCTGCACTACACACGCTCACCGCTACGCTACCCGCTGCACTACACACCGCTACGCTACCCGCTGCACTACACACACCACTGCTACGCTACCCGCTGCACTACACACACCACCGCTACGCTACCCGCTGCACCTACACACGCTCACCGCTACGCTACCCGCTGCACTACACACTCACCGCTACGCTACCCGCTACACGCTCACCGCTACGCTACCCGCTGCACTACACACTCACCGCTACACTTACCCGCTGCACTACACACGCTCACCGCTACGCTACCCGCTGCACTACACCCACACACCGCTACACTACCCACTGCACTATACACTCACCGCTACGCTACCCGCCTGCACTACACACGCTCACCGCTACGCTACCACTGCACTACACACGGCACTACACACGCTCCACCGCTACGCTACCCGCTGCACTACACACTCACCGCTACGCTACCCGCTGCACTACACACTCACCGCTACGCTACCCGCTGCACTACACACACTCACCGCTACACTACCCGCTGCACTACACACACACACCGCTACGCTACCCACTGCACTACACACGGCACTACACACGCTCACCGCTTACGCTACCCGCTGCACTACACACGCTACACTACCCACTGCACTACACGCTCACCGCTACGCTACCCGCTGCACTACACACGCTCACCGCTACGCTACCCGCTGCACTACACACTCACCGCTACGCTACCCGCTGCACTACACACACACACACCGCTACGCCTTACCCGCTGCACTACACACCGCTACACTACCCGCTGCACTACACACACACCGCTACGCTACCCGCTGCACTACACACGCTCACCGCTACGCTACCCGCTGCACTACACACACGCTACGCTACCCGCTGCACTACACACACACTGCTACGCTACCCGCTGCACTACACACACACCGCTACGCTACCCGCTGCACTACACACGCTCACCGCTACACTACCCGCTGCACTACACACCACACACACCGCTACGCTACCGCTGCACTACACACGCTCACCGCTACGCTACCCACTGCACTACACACGGCACTACACACGCTCACCGCTATGCTACCGCTGCCACTACACACTCACCGCTACGCTACCCGCTGCACTACACACTCACCGCTACGCTACCCGCTGCACTACACACAACTCACGCTACGCTACCCACTGCACTACACACTCACCGCTACCCGCTACACTACACACTCACCGCTACGCTACCCGCTGCACTACACACACACACCGCTACGCTACCCACTGCACTACACACGGCACTACACACGCTCACCGCCTACGCTCACCCGCTGCACTACACACGCTCACCGCTACGCTACCCACTGCACTTACACACGGCACTTACACACGCTCACCGCTACGCTACCCGCGCACTACACACACACACACCGCTACGCTACCCGCTGCACTACACACGCTCACCGCTCGCTACCCGCTGCACTACACACACACACACCGCTACGCTACCCGCTGCCACTACACACACGCTCACCGCTACGCTACCCGCTGCACTACACACACACACACCGCTACGCTACCCGCTGCACTACACACCCACACACCGCTACGCTACCCGTCTGCACTACACACACACCACCGCTACGCTACCCGCTGCACTACACACACGCTCACCGCTACGCTACCCGCTGCACTACACACACACACACCGCTACGTACCGCTGCACTACACCACACACACACCGCTACGCTACCCCGCTGCACTAACACACACACACCGCTACGCTACCCGCTGCACTACACACACGCTCACCGCTACGCTACCCGCTGCACTACACACACACACACCGCTGCACTACACACCACACACACCGCTACGCTACCCGCTGCACTACACACGAGCTCGCTCACGGGCCCGGCTGCCCGCCTGAAGTCCGAGCCTCTCGCCCTCTCCCCCGTCCCCGGCAGACGCGGCGGCCGCTCGCCTGGGCCCGGACGGCCCCCCGCGGCACCGCCGGCACAGCCGGGGGCCGGTCAGCGGGTCGCCCGCGGGGCCCGCGGCTCCCCCCGGTTTGCCCGCGGCCGCCGTGCCGCGGCGGCGGCGGCGCCGGACCTGCTGCGACGCGGGCGGCGTGGTGCTGCGGTGCCTCGGCGGAGCGTGAGCGGCGATGATGGGCGCCGGCGAGGCTTCGCTCGCCCTGGAAGTGCTCCGCCGAGATGAGCTCGCTCGCCTGCTGCGGTGGACCCACGCGGTGAGTTGTGGGGGGGGGGGGCCGGCGGGGCGGGGTGGTGGGGTGGGTAGGGGGATAGCGGTGAGGGCAGTGTGCTTCACGGGGGCTAGGGAGATGTTGACTACCTCGCCTGGTACGCAGGAGGTCGTGGGTTCCATCCCGACCCCTGTGCTGTATATTTGGAGTCTGCGCGTCTCTCTACTCATCATCATCATCATCAGGGTGGCTAGGAGATGTGGACTACCTCGCCTGGTGCGCAGGAGGTCGTGGGTTCGATCCCGACCCTGACGACGCCTGCTGCTGCTGTAGATTTGGAGTCTGCGTTGTCTTCTCTCTCATCATCATCATCACGGTGGCTAGGAGATGTTGACTACCTCGCCTGGTACGCAGGAGGTCGTGGGTTCCATCCCGACCCTGCTGCTGTATATTTGGAGTCTGCGTGTCTCTCTCTCTCATCATCATCACGGGTGGCTAGGAGATGTTGACTACCTCGCCTGGTACGCAGGAGGTCGTGGGTTCGATTCCGACCCTATCCTGCTGTATATTTGGAGTCTGCGTGTCTCTCTCTCTCATCATCATCACGGTGGCGAGGAGATGTTGACTACCTCGCCCCGGTACGCAGGAGGTCGTGGGTTCGATCCCCACCCTGCTGCTGCTGCTGTATATTGGAGTCTGCGTCTCTCTCTCTCTCCCCGCTGTCCACGTGATATCTGGCTCTTGCTGTAAATTTCCACGTGATTAGCCACGCGGTTGAGCTATCAATGGGGGAGCGATGGGGTGGAGCGATGGGGATAGCGATGGGGTAGCGATGGGGTTAGCGAGGGGGGAGCATTGGGGTGCGATGGGGGAGCGATGGGGGAGCGACGGGGTAGTGATGGGGGGGAGCGATGGGGTTAGTGGATGGGGGGGGAGCGATGGGGTTAGTGATGGGGTAGTGATGGGGGGTAGTGATGGTTGGATGCGATGGGGGTAGCGATGGGGGTTTAGACAAAGGCGGCCGCCACCACGCCCCGGCCGCCTTTGTATCCCCGCTGGCGATGTTCACCGCACTCACACACACTCACTCACACTCACACACTCACACACTCTCACCACACTCACTCTCACACTCACACACTCTCACACACTCTCACACACTCACACTCTCACACACTCACACACACACTCAGACACACAACAACAACCGCCATTCACCACTAAGTGGCGGTGACGTCACCACGACGCTTGTGCCAGCCTAGGTGCACCTTGAGGCCACGTGAAGTGTCGAACGCCCGCTGGCAGGAGGTCACTGGGGCAGACCCAGGTGCCACGGGTCGACTGACTGAGATGACTGGCTGATGCACCACCTGTGCCCCCTACTGTGCCAATCTGCTGTGCTTTAGCCACCCGGCGCTCCGCTCGTTGTTCTGAGCGTCGCTCCTCCGCCCTCCGTTGTTGTTGGAGGGCGACTGCCTCCAACTGCCCAGTAGCATCCTTCACGAGCCTCCTCCACAGAGGCCGATCTTGACCACCGCTGGTACCAGTCATCGGCAAGTCCACTCAGCTCCACGTCCTCCTTTACCACATCACTCCATCTCTTCTCTAGCCCGTGCCGCGCCCGCTTAGCCCCCTCAATCCGGCCAAACAAAAGCTGTTTCGGCATGCGGTGGCTGGGCATGCGGGCTACATGACCCAGCCATCGCAGCCTTGCCTGCCGGAGGAGCTCACCGATGGGACCCTGCCCAGATCTTTCAAGGATTTGTGAGCTCCTCACACAATCCAGTCTGGTTAAACCCAGGATGGATCGTAGGCAGGCCAGCCTAAATGTTTCTAACCGGCGAAGATGTTCCATTAGGGGGGTCCACGTTTCGCAAGCGTAGAGAAGGGAGGGAATGACCGTGGCCGAGAAGACCTGAAGCTTAGTGCGGAGCGACAGACCAGGTAGCTTCCACACAGCGTTACGCAACCGATGAAAAGATATTGCCGCTCGACTGATTCGGAGTGAGACCTCTGCTGTTAAACTGGAGCCAGTCATAAGCACACTGCCCAGGTATGGGAAACTCTCCACTCTCTCCACAACTGCCCCATCACCGATTGGGAGTTGTGGGGGTGGAGTGTCCCGATGGTACAAAATACCCAGGCAGGTGCTTAGTTTTGGTGGGGCTGATGGTAAGGCCCCCACCTCTTAGTGGCACGCTCCAGTCTCAGCAGCAGCGTCTCCAACTCCTCCTCTGACTGAGCAGCTATTACCAAATCATCAGCATACATAACGTGGTTGAGCAATAGGAGCCATCCCTTGACCGCACCCGGGCATCGATTAGCCTCCCATTATATCTGTACCATATGGAGATTCCCCCGGTACAGCTATTGAAGGCTTTACGAACTACGTGGTCAAAATAGATGTTAAATAATGTGGGAGCCAGAGGACATCCCTGTCGCACCCCAAGGTGTACAGGGAATGGCTCTGACTCCCGGCCACGTAGTTTTACCCGGGCCCGCTCACCATCATGAAGGTCCTTAATGATCAGTGAGCAGAGGGTCAGGTACTCCAAAAGCACGAAGAACGACCCAGAGCCCAGGCCTACTGATGGTATCATAGGCCTTGACCAAGGTCAATAAAGCAGAGATGTAGGTCTTGTTGGAATTCCCTACACCTCTGCTGTAGCAGACGGACAGAAAATATGGCATCTGTGCAGGACCGCCCTTTCCTGAAACCGCATTGGGGCTCCGCAAGCCTCTCCTCAGCGTGCCTGGCAAGGCGATGCTGAATAATCCTTGCCAGGACCTTTCCCGGCACACTGAGGAGTGAGATGCCCCTGTAGTTTGTTACAGTCTGTGCGGTCCCCCTTCCTTCCAATCCTGCGGAACCCGTCCAGTGGTCCAGACTGTTGTTATGATGTCATATAGGGCAGTCTGTGCACAAACGCACCCTCCCTCAGCATTTCGCTTGGGAGATCATCTCTGCCCGCTGCCTTTCCTGGTCTCAGACTCCGGATCGCCTTCAATACTTCCTCAGCAGATGGCACCTCAGCCAGCCACTCACAGGGGGTGACTTCTTCCAATATTTGAGGCACCGCAGCCTCAGCAGGGTCATCCTCACTTTGTGCCACGATGTTTTCCTGGCTGAGGGATTTTCCCCTCCCCCAGGACCTCACAGAAATGTTCAGCAAATCTGCGAACCTGTTTCTGGGGGTCGGAGATTGGATCACCGTTTTTTCTCCTAATGATGGTAATAGGTGTGGCGCTGCAGGTTACTTTTTTGATAGGAGTTAAATAGAGATTTGTGATCACGGGCCACTGAGGCAGACTCCATCTCCTCAGCAACCCGCGACCACCACCCATCCTTGCAGCGCCTCACGGCTCTCCGAACCTCCGAGCGAAGGCTTGCGGTAAGCCTCCTCATTCTCTGACGTGGGATTCTGTAGCCGATGACAGTGGGCCTGTCGCTTTTTCTCAACCATCCTGAACACCTCCTCTGTCAGCCAGGGTCTCTGGGGAGGTCTGGACCGCGTACCCAAAGCAGCCATTGCAGCTGCATGAGTCACAGTCCTAAACCTCGCCCATTTACCCGCGACATCCGGAGGAGTCGGGGACGATGCCAATCCCAGCCGCAAGCGATGATGAAATTCTCGCTTGCAACTTTCATCAGATAACTGAGACCAGGCCACTTTATGTTGGAATGGGGTGCTGGGTGTACACCCACCACCGGAGTGGAAGAATGGCAGGTGCATCTTACAGATGACTAGTGGATGGTCAGAGGGCAGATCAGCTCCACGGTAGGTCCTGGTGTCAAGGACATGGGCTCGCATTCGCTGGTCCGTCATATGTAGTCCAGCGGATGTTCTTGCTTGGACCCGGCATGCATCCATGATGTTGTGTGGATGCGCCGATGCTGGAAACAGCGTGTTGGTAATTACAAGCCCATGGGCTGCACAAAAATCTAGCAGCCTCCTACCGTTGTTATTGAGCTGATCTGGCCCATGCCCTCCAATCACTCCAGACCAGGTGCCAGTATCATGACCAACTCGGGCATTGAAGTCACCCAACATGATGACTCTATCCCGAGGGGCCACTTTAGCCAGCACCTGTGACAGGAGGTCATAGAAGGCATCTGACTCATCGGCTTTGCCTGCATCCCTCCACGGATGTTCATCTTCGGTGGGGGCATAAGTAACCACGACCACCATTCCTCGCCTCCGGTTGATGGGAAGGCGAGCCCAAAGTAGCCTGGGGCTTACAGCTTCCCACACCTCACCGCCACGCTCCCACGCCCCCTTCATTCTTTTGTTCAAAAGAAGACCCACACCCTGTTGTTTGGCAGTCTGCTGCCCCGAGTAGAGGACTGTCCACCCCTCATGGTGGCAGGAGCCAGAGCCTGTCCACCGGACCTCCTGAATGCCGCATAGATCCAGGCGGTACCGGTCCAGCTCCCGACAGAGGAGTGGCAGCCTCTCCTCTGCAGTGAGCGTTCGAACATTCCACGTGGCCACCCGTAGTGGCTTTTCGTTGTTTCTGGAGTAGCCCCGAGGGTAGAGATTCAATCTCCTGGCTCCGCCAATTGGGGTTTGGCCAGGAGACGTCATAGACGCCTGGCCCCCGGGGCCTCCGGCACAAGCTTATTAGTTAGATATTTCAGTTTAATTCGTGGTTTCGTGGTAATTAATTGAAGGTGGAGGGGTTACCAGCCCTTCGCACCCGTCCAGAGCCCCCGTTTAGCCTCTGTGGTGGACACATATGCCATGAGGGGAGGAGCCAATCAAAATTGGAACTCCCCCCACAGCACTGTCCACGACAGAGTTGCCCGTCACTCACTCACTCACACACACTCACACACACTCACACACACACTCACACACCACTCTCACTCACACACTCACACACTCACTCACTCACACACACACTCACACACACTCACACACACACTCACACACACTCTCACTCACACACTCACACACTCACTCACACACACACTCACACACACTCACACACACACTCTCACACACTCTCACACACACTCACACACACTCACACACTCATACACACTCACTCACACACTCACTCACACAGTCCTCACACACACTCTCACACACTCACTTACACACTCACCACACCACACACTCTCACACACACTCACACACACATACACACTCACACTCACTCACACACTCTCACACACACTCTCTCAACCACTCTCACACACACTCTTACACACTCACTTACACTCACTCACACACACACACTCTCACACTCACACACACATACACACTCACTCACTCACACACTCTCACTCACACACTCACACACTCACACATTCGAGGCCGCTACCTCACCCCTACCTACCCCTACCTCACCCCTATCTACCCCTACCTCACCCCTACCTCACCCCTACCCCCCCCCTACCCCCCCCTACCCCCCCTACCCCTTCCCTACCCCCCCCGCAGCAGCTGGCCGTGCTGACGCGGCTCACCTCGTCACTGTACGCCCGTGCCGCCGTCCTGGCGCTGGGCGCCCGCGGCCTCCCGCCGGCGCTCACCGCCTCCGTGCTCGCCTCCGTGTCGCGGCTGGCGGCCGCGGCCGCGGCCGTGCCACCGCCGGCCCTCCTGGGGCTCGCGCTGTCGCGACAGACGGCCCTCTTGCTGATGGGGCGGGGGCGCGGGGCCAGCCCCGGCTGGGGGACGGGGCGCGGAGCGGCGGGGGCAGGAGGAGGTGCAGGAGGTGCAGGAGGAGGTGCAGGAGGAGGTGCAGGAGGAGGTGCAGGAGGAGGTGCAGGAGGAGGTGCAGGAGGAGGTGCAGGAGCAGCAGCAGCAGCAGGCACAGCAGCAGCTGACGCAGCAGCAGCAGCAGCAGCAGCTGACACGGCAGCAGCTGACGCAGCAGCAGGCGCGGCAGCAGCTGACACAGCAGCAGCAGCAGCAGCTGACAAGGCAGCAGCAGCTGACACAGCAGCAGCTGACGCAGCAGCAGCAGCAGCAGCTGACACAGCAGCAGCAACAGCAGCAGCAACAGCAGGTGCTACAGCAGCAGCAGCTGACGCAGCAGCAACGGCAGCAGCAGGCGCAGCAGCAGCAGCAGCAGGTGCTACAGCAGCAGCAGCAGCAGCATCAGCGGCAGCAGCGGCAAGCAGCATCAGCGGCGGCGTTCCGAGCGCCTCCTCTCCGACGATCAGCTCCGTGACTGCCTGCTGGGCCTGGCCCGGCTGGGTCAGCGGAGCCCGCCGGTGCTGTCGGCGCTGTCCCGGCGTCTGGCGGTGCCGGACGGGGCGCTGGCGGCGCCGCCGGCGCTGGTGGCGGCGGCGGCGGCCTACGGGGGGCGCTGCGGCTGAGCGCGCCGGCGCTGCTGGACGCGGCTGCGTTCCACGTGCTCTACACCGGAGACGGGATGGCGCTGGAGCAGCTGGCCGAAGTGGTGAGGCGTGGGGGGAGGGGGGGTGAGCGGTGGGGGGGTGAGTGTGGGGGTGAGCGGTGGGGGTGAGCGTGGGGTGTGGGGGTGAGCGGTGGGGTGAGTGGGTGGGGTGAGCGTGGGGTGGGGGTGAGCGGTGGGGTGAGCCGGGGGGTGAGTGGTGGGGGCGAGCGGTGGGGTGAGCGGTGGGGCGAGCGTGGGGTGAGCGTGGGGGCGAGCGGTGGGGTGAGCGGTGGGGCGAGCCAGGGGGTGAGCATGGGGGTGAGCAGTGGGGTGAGCCGGGGGGTGGGGGTGAGCGGTGGGGTGAGCGTGGGGTGAGCGTGGGGGTGAGCGGTGGGGGTGAGCGGTGGGGTGAGCGGTGGGGTGAGCGGTGGGGTGAGCAGTGGGGTGAGCCGGGGGTGAGCGGTGGGGTGAGCAGTGGGGTGAGCCGGGGGGTGGGGGTGAGCGGTGGGGTGAGCGTGGGGTGAGCGTGGGGTGAGCGTGGGGGTAAGCAGTGGGGTGAGCGGTGGGGCGAGCGTGGGGGGTGAGCCGGGGGGGTGAGCGGTGGGGTGAGCAGTGGGGTGAGCGGTGGGGGGGGCGAGCGTGGGGTGAGCGGTGGGGTGAGCGTGGGGGTGAGCGTGGGGATGGGGGTGAGCGGTGGGGTGAGCGTGGGTGAGCGTGGAGTGAGCATGGGGTGAGCGTGGGGGTGAGCGTGGGGTGAGCGGTGGGGTGAGCCGTGTCGGGGGGGGGGGGGGGGCGAGCGGGTGGCTAAAGCACAGCAGGTTGGCACAGTAGGGGGCACAGGTGGTGCACCAGCCACTCATCTCAGTCAGTCGACCCGTGGCACCTGCTGGGTCTGCCCCCGTGACCTCCTGCCAGCGGGCGTTCGACACTTCACGTGGTAGCCTCAAGGTGCACCTAGCCTGGCACTTCACGTGGCAGCCTCGACGTGCACCCAGCCTGGCACGGGCGCCGTGGTGACGTCAACCGCCGCTTTGAGGCGAATGGCGACTGCTGTTGTTGTTGTTGTTGTGTAAGGTGGTGGTGTTGATGAAGTTGAAGGTGGCTCCCTCTCTCCCCCCTCCACCCCCCTCATCCCCCACCCACCCCCCCACCCACCCCACCGACCCCACTACCCCCCACTACCCCCCACCACCACCCCACCCACCCCACCCAGCTGGTGGCGATGGGCCGAGTGAGCCATGTGCCGTCGACCGAGGCGGAGTGGCGTGGCTCCTCTTCCGCAAGGTCGAGTCCCTCCTGGAGCGACGCTGTTGCCACGCTCGCCACAGCACCGGTGGTGGTGGTGGTGCTGGTGGTGCTGGTGGTGCTGGTGGTGGTGGTGGTGGTGCCGTGGCTCTGCTGGCACTGCTGCACGCAGCCACGCTGCTACAACGCTGCCCGGCCAACCACGTGGCACACGTATTCAGCCCAGTGTTCCTGCAGCAGCTGTGTGGTGGGTGGGGGTGGTGGGTGGGTGGTGGGGGGGGGGGGGTGGTGGGTGGGTGGGTGGGGGGGTGGGTGGGTGGGTGGGGGGTGGTGGTGGGAGGGTTTGTGTGTGATTGGGGGGAGTGGTGGTTAGGGTGGTGGGGGGGGTGGGGGTAGGGTGGTGGGGGGGTTGTTTGTGGTGGGGGGGGGGGGGGTGGGTAGGGTGGTGGGGGGGTGGTGGGTGGGTGGGTAGGGTGGTGGGGGGGGGTGGGGGTTGTGTGTGGTTGGTGGGGGGGGGGGGGTTATGTGTGGTTGGGGGGAGGGGTGGTGGGTAGGGTGGTGGGGGGTGGTGGGTGGGTGGTTAGGGTGGTGGGAGGGTTTGTGTGGTTGGGGGGGTGGTGGGTAGGGTGGTGGGGGGGTGGTGGGTGGTTGGGGGGGGTGGGTAGGGTGGTGAGTGGTGGAAGAGTGAGGGGGAGGGTGCTGAGATGGGTTGTTGGTAGGGGATGGTGGGGGGGGGGGGTTCTCTGGGGTGGGGGTTGTTGAGGCCAGGGTCCGTTGTGGTGAGCGTCTGTTGAGGCCTGCATCTGTTGTGGTGAGCGGCCGTTGTGGTGAGCGGCCGTTGTGGTGAGCGGCCGTTGTGGTGAGCGGCCGTTGTGGTGAGCGGCCGTTGTGGTGAGCGTCCGTTGTGGTGAGCGGCTGTTGTGGTGAGCGTCTGTTGAGGCCTGCATCTGTTGTGGTGAGCGGCTGTTGTGGTGAGCGTCTGTTGAGGCCTGCGCTTTCTCACTCAGAGGAGGAGTCGGGGCTGTCACAGCTGAGCCTGGCACGTCTCACCCAGTTGTTCCTCACCACACGGCTGGAGTGCCCCTTCTATGAGGTCTCACCACCCGCTCACCACCCGCTCACCACACTCACTACTCACTACACTCACCACTCGCTCACCACTCACCACACGGCTGGAGTGCCCCTTCTATGAGGTCTCACCACCCCGCTCACCACCCGCTCACCACACTCACTACTCACTACACTCACCACTCGCTCACCACTCACAACACGGCTGGAGTGCCCCTTCTATGAGGTCTCACCACCCGCTCACCACCCGCTCACCACCCGCTCACCACACCCGCTCACCACAACTCACTACTCACTACACGGCTGGAGTGCCCCTTCTATGAGGTCTCACCACCCGCCTCACCACCCGCTCACCACCCGCCTCACCACTCACCACACTCACTACTCACTACACTCACCACTCGCTCACCACTCACCACACGGCTGGAGTGCCCCTTCTATGAGGTCTCACCACCCGCTCACCACCCGCATCACCACTCGCTCACCACTCACCACTCGCTCACTACTCACTACACGGCTGGAGTGCCCCTTCTATGAGGTCTCACCACCCGCTCACCACCCGCTCACCACACTCACTTCTCACTACACTCACCACTCGCTCACCACTCACCACACGGCTGGAGTGCCCCTTCTATGAGGTCTCACCACCCGCTCACCACCCGCTCACCACACTCACTACTCACTACACTCACCACTCGCTCACCACTCACCACACGGCTGGAGTGCCCCTTCTATGAGGTCTCACCACTCGCTCACCACCCGCTCACCACCCGCTCACCACACTCACTACTCACTACACTCACCACTCGCTCACCACTCACCACACGGCTGGAGTGCCCCTTCTATGAGGTCTCACCACCCGCTCACCACCCGCTCACCACACTCACTACTCACTACACTCACCACTCGCTCACCACTCACAACACGGCTGGAGTGCCCCTTCTATGAGGTCTCACCACCCGCTCACCACCTGCTCACCACCCGCTCACCACACTCACTACTCACTACACTCACCACTCGCTCACCACTCACAACACGGCTGGAGTGCCCCTTCTATGAGGTCTCACCACCCGCTCACCACCCGCTCACCACCCGCTCACCACTCACCACACTCACTACTCACTACACTCACCACTCGCTCACCACTCACAACACGGCTGGAGTGCCCCTTCTATGAGGTCTCACCACCCGCTCACCACTCACCACTCACCACACTCACTACTCACTACACTCACCACTCGCTCACCACTCACAACACGGCTGGAGTGCCCCTTCTATGAGGTCTCACCACCCGCTCACCACCCGCTCACCACCCGCTCACCACCCGCTCACCACACTCACTACTCACTACACTCACCACTCGCTCACCACTCACCACACGGCTGGAGTGCCCCTTCTATGAGGTCTCACCACCCGCTCACCACTCACCACTCACCACACTCACTACTCACCACTCACCACTCGCTCACCACACTCACTACACGGCTGGAGTGCCCTTCTATGAGGTCTCACCACCCGCTCACCACCCGCTCACCACCCGCTCACCACTCGCTCACCACCCCGCTCACCACACTCACTACTCACTACACTCACCACTCGCTCACCACTCACCACACGGCTGGAGTGCCCCTTCTATGAGGTCTCACCACCCGCTCACCACCCGCTCACCACTCGCTCACCACTCGCTCACCACCCGCTCACTACTCGCTCACCACTCGCTCACTACTCACCACGCTCACCACTCGCTCACCACACTCACTACTCACTACACTCACCACTCGCTCACTACTCACCACTCGCTCACCCACTCACCACACTTCGCCACTCGCTCACTACTCACCACTCGCTCACCACACTCAACACTCGCTCACTACTCACCGCTCACTACTCGCTCACCCACTTGCTCACCACACTCACGGCTCACTACACTCACCACTCGCTCACTACTCACCACTCGCTCACTACTCACCACTCACACACTCACCACCACCCACTCGCCGCTCGCTCACCATTCACCACACTCACCACTCGCTCACCACACTCACTACTCACTAGACTCACACCCGCTCACCACCCGCTCACCACTCGCTCACCACTCGCTCACCACACTCACTACTCGCTCACCACCCGCTCACTACTCACTACACTCACCACTCGCTCACTACTCACCACTCACCACTCGCTCACCACTCACCACACTCGCCGCTCTCTCACCATTCACCACACTCACCACTCACTAACCACACTCACTACACACTACACTCACCACTCGCTCACCACTCGCTCACACACTCACCACATCACCACTCACCACTCGCTCACCACGCTCACTACTCACCACGCTCACCACTCGCTCACCACTCGCTCGCCACTCGCTCACCACACTCACTACTCACTACACTCACCACTCGCTCGCCACTCGCTCGCCACTCGCTCACCACACTCACCACCCGCTCACCACCCGCTCACCACTCGCTCGCCACTCGCTCACCACACTCACTACACTCACCACTCGCTCACTACTCTCTACTCACCACTCGCTCACCACACTCGCTACTCACTACACTCACCACTCGCTCACTACTCACCACTCGCTCACCACACTCACTACTGACTACACTCACCACACTCACTACTCAGTACACTCACCACTCGCTCGCCACTCGCTCACCAACACTCACCACCCGCTCACACCCGCTCACTCACTCGCTCGCCACTCGCTACTCACCACACTCACTACTCACTTACACTCACCACTCGCTCACTACTCTCTACTCACCACTCGCTCACCACACTCGCTACTCACTACACTCACCACTCGCTCACTACTCACCACTCGCTCACCACACTCACTACTGACTACACTCACCACACTCACTACTCACTACACTCACCACTCGCTCACTACTCACCACTTGCTCACCGCACTCACTACTCACTACACTCACCACTCGCCTCACTACTCACCACTCACCACTCGCTCACACACACTCACCACTCTCGCTCACCACGCTCACTACTCACCACTCGCTCACTACTCACCACTCGCTCACCACGCTCACTTCTCACCACTCGCTCTCTACTCAACACTCACCACTCGCTCACCACACTCACTACTCACTACACTCACCATTCGCTCACTACTCACCACTCACCACTCGCTCACCACTCACCACACTCACCACTCGCTCACCACTCGCCACTCACCACGCTCACCACTCGCTCACCACTCGCTCACCACACTCACTATTCACTACACTCACCACTCGCTCACTACTCACCGCTCACCACTCGCTCACTACTCACCACTCACCACTCGCTCACCACTCACCACACTCACCACTTCGCTCACCACGCTCACTACTCACCACTCACCACTCGCTCACTACTCACCACACTCACCACTCGCTCACCACTCGCTCACCACTCGCTCACCACTCGCTCACTACTCACCATTCACCGCACTCACTACTCACTCACCACTCACACACTCGCAGACTCACTACTCACCACGCTCACCACTCGCTCACCACACTCACTCACCAAACTCACTCACCACACCCACCACACTCACCACACTCACTCACCACACTCACCACTCACTCCCCACTCACCACTCGCTCACCGCTCGCTCACCACACTCACTACTCACCACACTCACTCACCACACTCACCAGTCACTCAAGACTCGCTCACTACTCACTCACCACAGTCACTACTCACTCGGCACACTCAGCGCACCCTCACCACTCACCACCTGCTCACCACTCATCGCTACCCATGTGTGTGTGCGTACGTGCGTGTTTGTGTGCGTGTGTGTGTTTGTGTGCGTGTGTGTGTGTTTGTGTGTATGCGTGTGTGTGCGTGTGTGATGTGTGTGCGTGTGTGTGCGTGTGTGTGCGTGTGTGTGCGTGCGTGTCTATCTGTATGTGTGTATCTGTATGTGTGTATGTGTATATATATATCTGTGTATGTGTGTATCTGTGTGTATGTATATATCTGTATGTATATATGTGTATGTATCTGTGTATGTATATGTATATGTGTGTATATGTATGTATGTGTATATGTATGTCTATCTGTATGTGTGTATCTGTATGTGTGTATGTGTATGTGTATATCTGTGTGTGTGTATGTATCTGTGTGTATGTGTGTGTATATGTATGTGTATATGTCTATCTGTGTGTGCGTGTGTGTGTGTATATCTCTGTGTGTGTATATGTATCTGTGTGTATGTGTGTGTATATGTATGTGTATATGTATGTGTATATGTATGTGTATATGTGTGTATATGTATGTGTATATGTATGTGTATATGTATGTGTATATGTGTGTATATGTATGTGTATATGTATGTGTATATGTATGTGTATATGTATGTGTATATGTGTGTATATGTATGTGTATATGTATGTGTATATGTGTGTGTATATGTATGTGTATATGTTTCTATATGTGTCTATGTATGTGTATATGTATGTGTATATGTATGTGTATATGTATATGTATGTGTATATGTATGTGTATATGTATGTGTATATGTATGTATATGTATGTGTATATGTATCTGTGTGTATGTATGTGTATATGTATGTGTGTGTATATGTATGTGTATATGTATGTGTATATGTATGTGTATGTGTCTATCTGTGTGTGCGTGTGTGTGTGTATATCTCTGTGTGTGTATATGTATCTGTGTGTATGTGTGTGTATATGTATGTGTGTGTATATGTATGTGTGTATGTATATATATGTGTGTGTATATGTATGTGTATATGTATGTGTATATGTATATGTATGTGTATATGTATGTGTATATGTATGTGTATATGTATGTGTATATGTATGTGTATATGTATGTGTATATGTATGTGTATATGTATGTGTATATGTATGTGTATATGTGTGTATATGTGTATGTATATGTATGTGTATATGTATGTGTGTATGTATGTGTATATGTATGTGTATATGTGTATGTGTGTGTATATGTATGTGTATATGTATGTGTATATGTATGTGTATATGTATGTGTATATGTGTGTGTATATGTATGTGTATGTGTGTGTATATGTGTATGTATATGTATGTGTATATGTATGTGTATATCTGTATGTGTATATGTGTGTATGTATATGTGTATATCTGTATGTGTATATGTATGTGTATATGTGTGTATGTATATGTATATATGTATGTGTGTGTATGTGTATGTGTCTATCTGTGTGTGCGTGTGCTCAGGGCACGGCGCTGCCGCCGCAGCACCGCGTGCGCTCGCTGTGCCGCGCGAGCCCCGAGGTGGAGAGCCCCGCCCCCGAGGAGCGCCTGCGGCTGCCCCTCCTCGCCGCGCTCGGCCGCCTGCTGGGAGGGCGCTCGCACTACGCCCAGCGACAACTCACGCCCTACGGATACACGCTGGGTGGAGGGGCTTGGGGAGTGGGTGGGGACTTGGGGAGTGGGTGGGGCTTGGGGAGTGGGTGGGGCTTGGGGTGGGCGTGGGCGCTGGGGGGATGGGGGAGTGGGTTGGTGGGAGGGCGCTCGCACTACGCCCAGCGACAACTCACGCCCTACGGATACACGCTGGGTGGGAGGGGCTTGGGGAGTGGGTGGGGCTTGGGAGTGGGTGGGGCTTGGGGAGTGGGTGGGGCTTGGGGTGGCGGGGCGCTGGGGGGAATGGGGGAGTGGGTTGGTGGGAGGGCGCTCGCACTACGCCCAGCGACAACTCACGCCCTACGGATACACGCTGGGTGGGGAGGGCTTGGGGAGTGGGAGGGGCTTGGGTGGGCGGGGCGCTGGGGGGATGGGGGAGTGGGTTGGGGGATGGCGCTCGCACTACGCCCAAGCGACAAACTCACGCCCTACGGATACACGCTGGGTGGGAGGGGCTTGGGGAGTGGGTGGGGCTTGGGGAGTGGGTGGGGCTTGGGTGGGCGGGGCGCTGGGGGGGATGGGGGAGTGGGTTGGTGGGAGGGCGCTCGCACTACGCCCAGCGACAACTCACGCCCTACGGATACACGCTGGGTGGGAGGGGCTTTGGGGAGTGGGTGGGCTTGGGGAGTGGGTGGGGCTTGGGGTGGGCGGGGCGCTGGGGGGATTGGGGAGTGGGTTGGTGGGAGGGCGCTCGCACTACGCCCAGCGACAACTCACGCCCTACGGATACACGCTGGGTGGGAGGGGCTTGGGGAGTGGGGAGGGGCTTGGGGAGTGGGTGGGCTTGGGGTGGGCGGGGCGCTGGGGGGATGGGGGAGTGGGTTGGTGGGAGGGCGCTCGCACTTACGCCCAGCGACAACTCACGCCCTACGGATACACGCTGGGTGGGATGGGGCTTGGGGAGTGGGTGGGGCTTGGGGAGTGGGTGGGGCTTGGGGTGGGCGGGGGCGCTGGGGGATGGGGGAGTGGGTTGGTGAGAGGGCGCTCGCACTACGCCCAGCGACAACTCACGCCCTACGGATACACGCTGGGTGGGAGGGGCTTGGGGAGTGGGTGGGGCTTGGGGAGTGGGTGGGGCTTGGGGTGGGCGGGGCGCTGGGGGGATGGGGGAGTGGGTTGGTGGGAGGGCGCTCGCACTACGCCCAGCGACAACTCACGCCCTACGGATACACGCTGGGTGGGAGGGGCTTGGGGAGTGGGAGGGGCTTGGGGATGGGTGGGGCTTGGGGTGGGCGGGGCGCTGGGGGGATGGGGGAGTGGGTTGGTGAGAGGGCGCTCGCACTACGCCCAGCGACAACTCACGCCCTACGGATACACGCTGGGTGGGAGGGGCTTGGGGAGTGGGAGGGGCTTGGGGAGTGGGTGGGGCTTGGGGTGGGCGGGGCGCTGGGGGGATGGGGGAGTTGGTTGGTGGGAGGGGCGCTCGCACTACGCCCAGCGACAACTCACGCCCTACGGATACACGCTGGGTGGGTGGGAGGGGCTTGGGGAGTGGGTGGGGCTTGGGGAGTGGGTGGGGCTTGGGGGGGGGGGGGGCGCTGGGGGGATGGGGGAGTGGGTTGGTGGGAGGGCGCTCGCACTACGCCCAGCGACAACTCACGCCCTACGGATACACGCTGGGTGGGTGGGGGGGTGGGGCTTGGGGGGAGGGGGTGGGGCTGGGGGTGGGTGGGAGGGGCTGGGTGGGGGGGGACCTGGGGATCGGGGGCTGGAGCTTGTGGGGGAGTGGGTGGCAGGGGCTGGGGGGGGGGTGTCATCATCTTCGTTGTTGGCGTTGATATGGTTGTTGATGTTGTTGTTGATGTTGTTAATGTTGTTGTTGTTGTTGATGTTGTTGTTGTTGATGTTGTTGTTGATGTTGTTGATGTTGTTGTTGATGTTGTTGTTGTTGTTGATGTTGTTGATGTTGTTGTTGGTGTTGATGTTGTTGTTGATGTTGTTGTTGTTGATGTTGTTGTTGTTGTCGATGTTTGTAGACGTGGAGGTGAAGCTGGATGAGGATGGCTTTGTGCTGCCCAGCTCCCACCGGGAGGACGTGCACACACGGTGAGCGTCACATCACCATCACCATCATCACCATCACCATCACCACTACCACCATCACCGTCATCACCATCACCACTGTCATCACCACCACCACCATCACCACCACCACCGTCACCACCACCACCGTCACCACCACCACTGTCATCACCACCACCACCATCACCACCACCACCACCACCGTCACCACCATCACCACCACCGTCACCACCACCACCGTCATCACCACCACCACCACCACCGTCACCACCACTGTCACCACCACCACCACCACCGTCACCATCATCACCACCACCATCACCATCACCACCGTCACCACCACCATCATCACCACCATCACTACCACCATCACCACCACCACCATCACCACCACCAACACCACCGTCACCACCACCTCCACCACCACCACCGTCACCACCACCACCACCACCACCGTCACCACCACCATCACCACCGTCACCACCACCACCACCATCACCACCACCACCACCACCGTCACCACCACCACCACCACCACCACCGGTGTGTGCCCCTCCCCCACTGCCAGGCTGGCGCTGTGCCTGGACGGGCCGCGCCGCTTCTGTGCCAACTCCCGTGTGCTGCTGGGTCGCGACGCCATCAAGCAGCGCCACCTGAAGCTGCTGGGCTACCACGTGGTGCAGGTAGGGGGGCACGGGCACAGGGAAAGCCACCACCACCGTCACCACCGTCACCACCGTTGTCACCACCGTCGTCACCACCGTCATCACCACCGTCTTCATCACCACCACCGTCACCACCGTCACCACCGTTGTCATCACCACCACCACCGCCACCACCACCGTCATCACCACCGCCATCACCACCATCACCACCGTCATCATCACCACCACCGTCACCACCACCACCAACCACCGTCACCACCACCACCACCCGTCACCACCGTCACCACCGTCGTCATCACCACCACCACCGTCACCACCACCGTCATCACCACCACCACCAGCACCACCACCTCCACCATCACCACCATCGCCCACCACCACCACCACCGTCACCACCATCACCACCGCCACCACCGCCACCACCGTCACCACCGTCACCACCGTCACCACCATCACTACCGCCAACACTGCCACCACCGCCACCACCACCACCACCGTCACCACCGCCACCACCACCACCACCACGTCACCACCGTCACCACCACAACCCCCACACACTACACCCCCATCCCCCCCCGGGTGCTCGTTTTGTTGTTGTTGTTGTTAAGGCCGAGGTGGAGGAGGTCACATGCCACGGCGTCACGGGGTCACGGGGTTATATTGCCACTGGTGTTGGGGTCACGGGGCCACAGGGTTATGGGGCCACGGGGTCACGGGGTTATGGGGCCACGGGGTCATGGGGCCACGGGGTCATGGGGCCACGGGGTCATGGGGCCACGGGGTTATGGGGCCACGGGGCCACGAGTGATATTGCCATGTGGGGGAGTGTGTGAGATTGTTTTACAACTGTTGCGAGTTTTGATTGTCTGACAAGTCGTGTCCCCCGCGTGTCTCCGTGTCCCCGTGTCTCCCCTTGTCCCCATGTGTCTCCCCGTGTCTCCCCGTGTCTCCCCGTGTCTCCCCTTGTCCCCATGTGTCTCCCCGTGTCTCCCCCGTGTCTCCCCGTGTCTCCCCGTGTCTCCCCCGTGTCTCTCCCCCGTGTCTCCCCCGTGTCTCCCCGTGTCTCCCCCGTGTCTCCCCGTGTCTCCCCGTGTCTCCCGTGCCTCCCCGTGTCTCCCCCGTGTCTCCCCCGTGTCTCCCCGTGTCTCCCCCGTGTCTCCCCGTGTCTCCCCGTGTCTCCCCGTGCCTCCCCCGTGTCTCCCCGTGTCTCCCCGTGCCTCCCCGTGTCTCCCCCGTGTCTCCCCGTGTCTCCCCGTGTCTCCCCGTGTCTCCCCCGTCTCTCCCCGTATCTCCCCGTGTCTCCCCCGTGTCTCCCCCGTGTCTCCCCCGTGTCTCCCCCCGTGTCTCCCCGTGTCTCCCCGTGTCTCCCCGTGCCTCCCCCGTGTCTCCCCGTGTCTTCCCGTGTCTCCCCGTGCCTCCCCGTGTCTCCCGGTGTCTCCCGGTGTCTCCCCGTGTCTCCCCGTGTCTCCCCCGTCTCTCCCCGTGTCTCCCCGTGTGTCCCCGTATCTCCCCGTATCTCCCCGTGTCTCCCCGTGTCTCTCCCCGTGTCTCCCCGTGTCTCTCCCCGTGTCTCCCCGTGTCTCCCCGTGTCTCCCCCGTGTATCCCCGTGTGTCCCCGTGTCTCCCCCGTGTCTCCCCGTGTCTCCCCCGTGTCTCCCGTGTCTCCCCGTGTCTCCCCCGTGTCTCCCCCGTGTCTCCCCCGTGTCCCCCCGTGTCTCCCCCGTATGTGCGTGTCTCCCCCGTGTCTCCCCGTGTCTCCCCTTGTCCCCATGTGTCTCCCCGTGTCTCCCCGTGTCTCCCCGTGTGTCCCCCGTGTCTCCCCGTGTCTCTCCTCCGTGTCTCCCCGTGCCTCCCCGTGTCTCCCCCCGCCCCCTCCGCGCGTGTCTCAGATCCCGTTCTTCGAGCTGGAGGTGCTGTCCTCCTCGCGACGAGCATGTCGACTTCCTCCACAAGAAGCTCTTCCCACACTCCTTCCGCCTGCAGTGGTGACTACCCCGCACGGTGGCCGGTCCACGCCGCCGGTGATTAACCGGGCGGCGTCGGTGGCCCGTCGGCGAACGCCATGCCCACTCGACCAGAGAATCGCCGCCGTGTAATGGTGTCGTCCACGTGTCTGTGACCTTGTGTCTGCGTGTCTGTGACCTTGCGTCCGCGTGTCTGTGACCTTGTGTCTGCGTGTCTGTGACCTTGTGTCTGCGTGTCTGTGACCTTGTGTCCGCGTGTCTGTGACCTTGTGTCCGCGTGTCTGTGACCTTGTGTCTGCGTGTCTGTGACCTTGTGTCCGCGTGTCTGTGACCTTGTGTCCGCGTGTCTGTGACCTTGTGTCCGCGTGTCTGTGACCTTGTGTCTGCGTGTCTGTGACCTTGTTTCTGCGTGTCTGTGACCTTGCGTCTGCGTGTCTGTGACCTTGTGTCTGCGTGTCTGTGACCTTGTGTCCGCGTGTCTGTGACCTTGTGTCTGCGTGTCTGTGACCTTGTGTCTGCATGTCTGTGACCTTGTGTCTGCGTGTCTGTGACCTTGTGTCTGCGTGTCTGTGACCTTGCGTCTGCGTGTCTGTGACCTTGTGTCTGCGTGTCTGTGACCTTGCGTCTGCGTGTCTGTGACCTTGTGTCTGCGTGTCTGTGACCTTGTGTCTGCGTGTCTGTGACCTTGTGTCTGCGTGTCTGTGACCTTGCGTCCGCGTGTCTGTGTGTCCGCGTGTCCGCGTGTGCTGGTGTCGTCCGTGTGTCGGTGTTTGTGTCCGTGTGTGTGTGGTGTGGAACCCGTGTGTGTGTGTGTGGTGTGTGTGGGTGGTGTGTGTACGGTGTATGTGCGTGTGTGTGTATGGTGTGTGTGGTGTGTGTGCGGTGTGTGTGTATGGTGTGGTTGGTGTGTGTATGGTGTATGTGTGTGTACGGTGAGTGTGTGTAGTGTGTGTGTACTGTGTGTGTGTGTGTAGTGTGGTGTATGTATGGTGTGTGGTGTGTGTACTGTGAGTGTGTAGTGTGCGTGTACTGTGTGTGTGTAGTGTGGTGTGTGTACGGTGTGTGTGTGTGTACGGTGTGTGTAGTGTGTGTGTGTAGTGTGTGTGTGTGTAGTGTGTGTGTGTAGTGTGTGTGTGTGTGTAGTGTGTGTGTGTAGTGTGTGTGTGTAGTGTGTGTGTGTAGTGTGTGTAGTGTGTGTAGTGTGTGTACGGTGTGTGTGTGTGTAGTGTGTGTAGTGTTTGTGTGTGGTGTGTGTGTGTAGTGTGTGGTTTCTATTTACTCTCGGACTGCGTTGTCACAGTTTGTAAATAAAGGTGTTGTTGGTGATGTTGTTGCACGAGTCTATGGGTCTCTGTGTGATGAGTCTGAGTCTCTGTGTGAGTCTATGGGTCTCTGTGTGGTGAGTCTATGGGTCTCTGTGTGGTGAGTCTATGGCTCTCTGTGTGGTGACTCTATGGCTCTCTGTGTGGTGAGTCTATGGCTCTCTGTGTGGTGAGTCTATGGGTCTCTGTTGGAGTCTATGGGTCTCTGTGTGTAGAGTCTATGGGTCTCTGTGTGTGTAGTCTATGGGTCTCTGTGTGAGTCTATGGGTCTCTGTGTGTGTGGTCTATGGGTCTCTGTGTGTAGTCTATGGGTCTCTGTGTGAGTCTATGGGTCTCTGTGTGTGTAGTCTATTGGCTCTCTGTGTGTTTAGTCTATGGGTCTCTGTGTGGTGAGTCTATGGGTCTCTGTGTGGTGAGTCTATGGGTCTCTGTGCGGTGAGTCTATGGGTCTCTGTGTGTTTAGTCTATGGGTCTCTGTGTGGTGAGTCTATGGGTCTCTGTGTGGTGAGTCTATGGGTCTCTGTGCGGTGAGTCTATGGGTCTCTGTGTGTTTAGTCTATGGGTCTCTGTGTGGTGAGTCTATGGGTCTCTGTGTGATCAGTCTATGGCTCTCTGTGTGGTGAGTCTATGGGTCTCTGTGTGTTTAGTCTATGGGTCTCTGTGTGGTGAGTCTATGGGTCTCTGTGTGGTGAGTCTATGGGTCTCTGTGCGGTGAGTCTATGGGTCTCTGTGTGTTTAGTCTATGGGTCTCTGTGTGGTGAGTCTATGGGTCTCTGTGTGATCAGTCTATGGCTCTCTGTGTGGTGAGTCTATGGGTCTCTGTGTGTTGAAGCTTGATCCATGCTTGAACACATAGCCGTGATATGAGTGGGTGACGTCACTCCAGATGAAGCAGCTCCCCCTCATTAATAAACATGAGTGAATGACGTCACTCCACATACAGCACCTCCCCTTCATTAATAATCACGAGTGGATGACGTCACTCCACGTGAAGCACCTCCACTTCATTAATATTCATGAGTGGGTGACGTCACTCCACATGAAGCACCTCCCATTCATTAATATTCATGAGTGGGTGACGTCACTCCACATGAAGCACCTCCCCCTCATTAATAATGAGTGGGTGACGCCACTCCACATGAAGCACCTCCCCCTCATTAATAATCATGAGTGAATGACGTCACTCCACATGAAGCACCTCCCCTTCATTAATAAACATGAGTGGATGACGTCACTCCACATAAAGCACCTCCCCTTCATTAATAATCATGAGTGGATGACGTCACTCCACATGAAAGCACCTCCCTTTCATCAATATTCATGAGTGGGTGACGTCACTCCACATTAAGCACCTCTCCCTCATTAATAATGAGTGGGTGATGCCACTCCACATGAAGCACCTCCCCCTCGTTAATAATCATGAGTGAATGACGTCACTCCACATGAAAGCACCTCCCCCTCATTAATAATCATGAGTGAATGACGTCACTCCACATGAAGCACCTCCCCTTCATTAATAATCATGAGTGGATGACGTCACTCCACATGAAGCACCTCCCCTTCATTAATAAACATGAGTGAATGACGTCACTCCACACGAGGCACCTCCCATTCATTAATATTCATGAGTTGGTGACGTCACTCCACATGAAGCACCTCCCCCTCATTAACAATGAGGGGATGACGTCACTCCACATGAAGCACCACCCCCCTCATTAATAATCATGAGTGGGTGACGTCACTCCACATGGCTATCCACATATACAAACACAGAGACAACGGAGAAGATGGATTCTGGCTTAGCAATCTTTGGAAGGATTTGATAAACCATTTCGGGTCTTAATTGATTGTTCACGCTTTAAGGTGGCTTTCAGACCGCATCCATTATTTTCGTCTCCCCCCTTCTCTTTTCAGAACATAGATGGACTCATATTCTTAGCTCTTTCGGTAAAGTCACGTTGAAGGGAAACAATAAAATTATAAAATATATATAAAACAATAAAAATTCTCACGACGTTTCGACCATAACACAAACGGTCGTCATCAGGTGTGTCGGTTTGCATTAATTAAGTTATTAAGGGAAACAACAAAATAATTAATTAATTCGTTTATTAATGCAAACCGGCACACCTGATGATGACCGTTTGTGTTATGGTCGAAACGTCGTGAGAATTTTTATTGTTTTATATATATTTGATTATTTTATTGTTTCCCTTCAACGTGACTTTACCGAAAGAACTAAGAATATGAATTACTGCAGTCACGAAAGCTTTAAATCAAAATAGATGGACTCGTCCATTTGAATAAATGGCAAATCGCTCTTCTTGGTGGTAACGTTAATTTAAAAAAACAACCACCACTTTTTTTAAATTTTCTTGCCGTGGTGTTCACACCTGATGATGATTGCTTTCGTTGCAGTCAAAACGTCGTGAGAATTTTATTGTTTTATATATGTTTTTTTTATATTGTATTGTTTCCCTTCTACGTGACTTTACCGAAAGAACCAAGAATAAGGTTATTCTTGATCCCACCATATAGCCTTACCGAAAGAACCAAGAATTATGAATCCCTGCAGTCACGAAAGCTTTAAATAAAAAAGAATAAGATGAGCATCATTTTGATTTAAAGCATTCGTGACTGCAGTAATTCATATTCTTAGCTCTTTCGGTAAAGTCATGTTGAAGGGAAACAATAAAATAAAAATATGTAAATAAAATGAAAGAATATTTTTATATATTTTATTATTTTATTGTTTCCCTTCAACGTGACTTTACCGAAAGAGCTAAGGATATTAGCATCTACATTATGAGACCTCCTTTGCCAGTAACAAGATATAGGAGTAGGTTTTACCCTTTTAACTGGAACAAAAGCTGACACCTTTATTCAAGGCATCATGTTTGCAATAACCACAACACAAGCAGTCAAAATGCAAACAAAAAAGACAACTCTGATAATAACACGATGCCTTGAATAAAGGTGTCAGTTTTTGTGCCAGTTAAAAGGGTAAAACCTATTCCTATATCTTGTTACTGGCAAATGAGGTCTCATAATGTAAATGCTCACCCCGAGCACCTCAATAACTCTGATAGTGCGCTGTTTTTTGAGTTGTACGCCTTTTGGCGTCTTCTGGTCCAACACCAGTGTGAGACTTAAGGGCTCTAAGAAAAGCCGTCTTGGGTGTGGACCAATCAAATTCAAGGACAGTGCCAATATTATTATCAGAGTTGTCACACGTGGCAGTGCGCGTCTCGCCGCGCCATTGGTCGACACCCGCCCCGCCCCATTACGACCCGACAGCCAATCGGCGCTGGCTCGCCGGTTGCCGTGGCAACATCAGTCAACAATGGAAGCAGCAGCAGAAGCGACACCAGCCGCAGCTGTTAACTATTCAGAACTTTAATTTTTTTTAACTCCCCTATTATAATAAGCCGCGTTTAACGTCTCTCTGACTGTTGCATCTTTCTTTTTATTATCCTTGTTATTTGTTTATTGTTTGTTTGTGTCGTGTTGGTGTCGTTATTAATGAATGATGGAGCCGCCTCACGAGCTGGGATACTGTGCGCAGCGTTTCCCGCTACGCGCGCGTCACAACAGGGGCCTGGGTGAGGCCACACACTCACCACCTACTACTCACCACCTACTACTCCTCACCACCTACTCACCACTCCTCACCACCTACTCCTCACCACCACACACTCACCACCTACTCACCACCTACTCCTCACCACCACACACTCACCACCTACTACTCACCACCTACTACTCCTCACAACCTACTCACCACTCCTCACCACCTACTCCTCACCACCACACACTCACCACCTACTCCTCACCACCACCTACTCACCACCTACTCACCACCACCTACTCCTCACCTACTACTCACCACCTACT